TCAACTCCCAGAATTCCCCAGCCAGCATTCGCTGGCTGGGGAATTCTGGGAGTTGAAGTCCAAACATCTTCAAGTAGCCAAGGTTGGGAAACACTGCTTTGCCATCTAGCAAAGTTCAGTTCACAAAATCACATGCCAGCCACTAAGTGCTAAGGGCTAAACAAATGGTGCACCTGCCTGTGTGACAGCAAGCCATGTCACGTGCCACTCCCTTCTCCATTCTTAGAAATCGTATGGGCATGTAAGAGCACAATCTCCATTTTTTACAGGCAGAATCTGAACAAGGAATCAGTCATCTGGAGCTGACAAAATGAACTCAGGAAACCACCAAGATCTAGAGTCATCAGGACTCAATGAGTTTTAAGTTGACACAACAGATTATTAATATTTCAAGATATGTTTTTTAAAAAATGAGTTAGGTGTAGCTGCTGAATTGGTAACAGGCAGTACAAATCACCATATACTTAGATTATCAGCCAGAAACAAATGTTGCCCTTGCTGAATGCCAGGCATTCACACTAAGGCTGGGCAAGGATCCAGATTCAAAAAGCAAAATATGATTTGATCTAAGCGTAGATACATACAGTACTTAGTGGCCATTGGAAACCCCTTAAAAAAGAGAGAAGGAACTATGGCCCCATTATGATTTCTAGACTTCAATTCCAAGGATTCCTGAGCCAGCATGCATGGCTGCTCAGGAATTCTGTGAGTTAAGGTCCACACATCGTAAAAGGGCCATGATTCTCCACCCCTGTCTTCAAATAGGAGGAGGAAGGTTGTGTTGGATATGTTCGCTGCCTTGAGCTATTTGTAAAAATAATAAAGGTGAGATACATATTTTCCTCCTATTCAAGTCAAGGAAAATTGCTTTAAAGTTTTCCTGATATACAGTAGGTTGCAATAGCCATGGAGACCATAATTGCTGTAGCTAAGCAACACAGTTATAAGGGGTGGTGTCATGTGAACAGGGCACTTAGTGATGGCAATCCCAGCAGCCTTGGTTACCAACATTAAGGGAGGACCTCTCATAACAGCAAGATCTGTGAGAAGCCAGCAAGGAGCATCAAAAATCACAGACACATAACTGTGGCTTGCTGTGATGATGCAATCATGAGTCAGACGTTGGGTAGCCAGATTGTGATCATGTGACCATAGGGATGTTGCAATGGGTGGAAATCTGAGAACTAGTCCTAAGTACAGCTAATCCTCAACTTACAACGGTTCATTTAGTGACCGTTCAAAATTACAACAGCCCTGAAAAATGACCGTTTTTCACACATGATCAAAAATTCAGATACTTGACAACTGACTCATATTTATGGCGATTGCAGTGTCCCATGGTCATGTAACCCACCTTCTGCAATCTTCTGACAAGCAGAGTCAATGGGGAAGTCAGATTCACTTTACAACTGCCGGGATTCACAACCACTGAACAAGAAAGGTCGTAAAATGAGGCAAAATTAATTGAACACATGCCTCATTTAGCAACAGAAATTTTGGGTTAAATTATCATAATTCAAGGACTGTCTGTACCATTTATTCAACATCAACATTATAACTTTGAACATTAAACAAATAGTTGTGACTCAAGGACTACCTATATGTATGATTTTTTTTTTAAGTGTATTTATCACGCTCTGTATTAGAAAGACTGAACAGAAGCTGACCTTGCTTTGAGTGTCTGTGTCCTCTACTGTGGCTTTGTGCTTGGCAATCTCATTCACTTTTCCCAAAACACTCTAGGAATGAAAACAACAACAAAAACTTATGTTAACAGAGCATCCCACAATACCTTGCCACAATGTCAATATCCCATCGGATAAGCCCAAATGTATTTCCTGCTGGGAAATCCTAGAGAAACTTTTTCCAACTCTTTGTTCATCAGTTCCACAACACAGACCTCTGCTCTCATCTGTATATTCATCTTCAAAATCCTCTACATCAGTGTATGTTGGAAAAAAAGCAATAGAACTTCATTTTTGTATATGATAACTGCAGCAAGATTATTGTAGACACAAAGATGGAAACACCCGGCAATGCCTGCAATGGAGGAATGGTCGGGGAAGATGTTGGAATTTGCTGAGATGGCCAAATTCATTTCTTTGATTAAAAAAAAAATACAATGTTTCCAAGTATTTCTGATTGGAAACTTCTTGCAAACTTTTTCCAGAAAACAGGAAAAAACCCTGAACTTACGATTTAGGGTTTGAAGATTACATAGGACAGATAATAGAAAGAACAGAGACATATTGTAACTTTAGAGAAAGGGGTAAAGTGCTGTAAAGCAGACTGGAAGCCATTTCTTTAGATCTGTTTTCTATTTTTCATTTACTCTTTTTTTCACGTTTAGCTTTCTCTTTGACTTCCTTCTTTTCCTCTTTTCTTTCTTACTTTAAATGACTTTGTATACGCTTCTAATCCTCCTTTTTAGTTTTTTAAAATAAAATTATATTTTAAAAAAAGAAACCCTAGAATAAATCCCACCTGTAGCCTTGCCTCCACCTGGTCCAGAGTTGCCACATCTAAGGAGTTGACTTTGGCCTGCAAGAGCTCCACGGTTTCCTAAGGGTGGATGGGATTGAAGAGTGTCAATCACTCAGTTGACAATACAGAGAATGAAAATCTAAAAGTCCTTGAATTGCTTGCAACATTCTGATTAATCAAATGTACCTGCAGTCTCTAAGCCTCACATAACATTTATCTCGGTTTTCCTTTTCCCTTTATTTCTAAATCTAAGGCCCTCTCTCCTGTCACTAGCTCACAAGGCCAGAAGTGTCTATTTTTTGAGTTATTTTTAGAAAACAAAACCGATTGGTGATAGTGGTGAAATAATATACATGGAGCTTTTTAATATATTTTTTGTCCATAGCCAGCTATATATCATTGAGAATTTACGACTGATAATATTGTCTGAGGTTGATGTGTGTATACAAACTTAATGGTGAGGAGGCCTACATATCCAGATACAGATATGATGGAGATTATGTCACCAAGAGCTTAGTCATTCAAAGTATGAAGTTATACCCAATCTTTTGATCCCTATATAGCATTTAGGAAAGTTGAGGTCCTTTTAAACTATTAAATAACATTGAATGTCCACAGGATATGGATAAAAAAATACACACACACAAGAAGACAATAACCCTGAAAGTGCATTCAAAGCTCTGCTTGTCACATATAAAAACCAGGCAGTGCTTATTTATTACATTTTAATCTCGTGCTAAATTCTGCATGAGATTGGAAAAAAGTATACTTTGCCAGACCAAAATGTTCTTGGCAATTTCTCTGTCCCTTTGATTTTTGGCTTCTAAGACACATAGCCAAATCTGGACTACCTGGTCTAGAGCATCTTGCAAAGGCTAAATACGTGCCTCACTTGTGCCTTACTGAAATCTATTCCGCCTCCCCCAAATTTCTTCCTTTCTCTAACTCTCCCAATTCCAGGATTTTATATACATCCAAGGGCTTTGTACAGCAACTATCGATCACAATATGGGTTTGCAACCACCCACAGTATAAACCAGGGGTGGGCTTCAAAAATTTTAGCAAAGGGTTCTCTGCCTGGTTGCTGGATGGGCGTGGCCATAGTGGGCGGGGTCACGTTGGCCTCCTGCACCACGGTGGAGGGGCGTTTTTGCCCTCCCTTGGCTCCAGAGACTTTCTTTGACTCTCCGGGAGGGCAAAAACAGCCTCCCCAGACTCCGGAGGCCCTCTGGAGGCTGGAAACAGGCCCATTTCCAGCCTTCCCAAGCTTCCAGTGGGCCTGTTTTTCACCCTCCCCCAGCCTCCGCACATGCCCTGCACTTACCTATATCCAAAACGTGCTGCGTGGGGACTCCTGGGAGGGGCAGGGTAGGCAGGGCCAGCAAGGAGTGAGATTTGGGGGTTCTCCGAACTGCACAGAATCTTAGTTAGAGATTCTCCCGAATCCCTGCAAACCCTCAGCAGCCTATCCCTGGTATAAACCAATCTACGAGATTCCTTCATACTTACTCCTGAAAAGCAGCCATCCCATTTAATTCCTTCCTAGTCCCAACAGGCCCCAAATAAGAAGACCGAATCAATGCCTTACCATTAGGCTAGCGCCCTGCAGTCCAACAGACAGAGGATTCTAGATAGAGGGAAGGAAAAAGGTGGTTTAATACAATGCCGTTCAGTTTCTAACAAAGACATTAGTGTGCAATACAATGTTATGTCATTAATACCGGCCAGTCTCTCTCAACCTTGGCAACTGGCAACTTTAACATATTTAGACTTTGACTCCCATGCTAAATGGGGAAATTCTGGAATATTAATCCAGAAGACAGTGACTAAGGCATGAGAGACTGTCAGTATGGGGACAATTTGATCTATAAAACAAACTGTCAAAAGGCCCTCCAAGCCATGGCTGCTGTCTGCTGTTCAAACTGAAGGGAACACTTCGAAGGCGCACTTGGCCTATCCGGAGTAGTGCAGCCCCGTCCAGGTGGAAATTCCCTGAGTTTAGGAAGGCCCCAAATGCTCAGCCACTCAGTCTGACTTGAGTCTGTTTTCCCCTATCTAGGCCCCTACAATCTTCTTACGATGTGAGGTCCTCCTCCCCTCTGAATAAAATTGAGCTCTAACAAGTTTTTGCTTCGCTTATAACATAATTAGATCTCAGAATTCACCTAGTAAGGCAAGTGAATAGCCCTAGAAAGACCCCAAAGAAAGCTCTTCTTCATGGAATGCATCCACTGCTGAATTTCAGCTGTTGTCATACAGTACATATATTTTTCCCTATCTTCTCCATAAGGAAAAAAAAACCCTAACCTCAGGCCTGAATAATGATTAAGGCTATGGCAGTGTTTGCGAACCTTTTCATCACTGAGTGCTGAAATAGGGGTACAGACGTGTGTTCATGCCAGAAACCAGAGAGAAGCCGCCTGGTGCACATGCGCACCCTGGGAATATGGTCTTCTGTTTCCGGGCACGTGCATGCACACCGGCCACCTGGTCTTCTGGTTTCTGGCGTGCATGCACACTGGCCATTTGTTCTTCATGCATGCATGGACATCAGAAACCAGAAGATCATCTTCCCGGCACGCGCATGCACACCAGGCAGCTGCTCTTCTGATTTCTGGTGCTCCTGCACACGTGAAGACCAGCTGGCTAGCATGCTGGAACCCAGAAGAACAACAAGCGATGGCTTGCGTGCCCAAAGAGATGACTCTGTGTGCTACTTCCGGCACGCGTGCCATAGGTTCGCCATCACGGAGCTTTGGGATCAGTACAGCCGATAAAAATCCCCATCATTGTCAGGCAACCTGCCAGTCTACTGCCCCATGTGTCTCTCACCTGCACATCCTGTTCACAACGAACTGATGCCTCCAACTCAGCCAGACGCTTCTCCAATTCTGCTATCTGATAGGACACAAAAAAAAAAATCTATTGGAATATATTTTTCTCCCCTCCTTCTGATTTGATCCACAAATCTCTGCTAGCTTGGACTCAAGCAGACGAACGGCTTTTAAATTTTTGTTTTGAATTGAGAGGAGTCTTCTGAGAAGCAGGCACTTCAAAGAACAGAATTGTCGTCGTTTGTTTCATGCCACTAAAAAGAAGTTAAGGGCCAGGCACTTGTGGGAACTTGTGGCACAGAAATATCACTCCCATCATCCTTTCCCAAAGGTCATGCTGGCTCCTGCTCCTGGAAGTTGTCCTTCAGCAATTTCTGGAGGAATTTCTAGCAGATGAACAAATCCTTCAGTGTTGAATACACTTTATGGAGCTGACTAGAAATGGGATCAGGCAAGGTTCTGTTTTAAGGTGTACACAGTGCCAGCAATAAGGAAATAGCTCCAGAAATCTGGAGAGTCTAGAATCCCAGTTTCTCAATGTTACTTTTTCTCTCTAAAGTCACCTTAATTTTTCAGCAGCAAGGTGGTGATATCAGCTTGACGACTCTGGCCTTAACAGTTTCCATGCAGAAGTAAGAGTAATTCTTGTTCAGAGATAAAATTTTTGTCAATCCTTAGATTCAGTTACTTCCACTATCTGCCATATTTTGTTTTTAACACCGCATACATATACAAACATACACAGAGAGAGAGAGAGAGGCGTGTGTGTGTGTGTGCGCGCGCGCGCGCGTTTATAGGTTGTTTGGGGTTGTTTCAGATTGGTTGTTGGGGTATCCCAAGGGGATAATTGAAGCAGTAGGTTTCGGTTGTGCGTCATGGTGTTTATAGCTCAGGGTTTTATTGTTGTGAACCACCCACAGTTGCATTTGAAGAGGGGCAAGTCTTACAAATCTTTTAAATTTGAAAACAAAATAAATAAATATTTCTCTTTTTAATTTACAAAAAAATATTTTTTATAAAATGACACACACATTTTAAAACAGCGTTTATAGATGTCCAACCATTTTGGTGAGTGAGTTGTTTGTGAAATCATGAACATTAGCCCACCAATGCAGCTGTTGTTCTTTTAAACAGTTCACAAGCTTGCAGAATCCTTCCACCTTGGTTACCCAGGAAAGTCCTGGAGAAAGATAACTCACCTCTGTTCTCCCTACTTCATATCCCACTATTCTAATGCATTTCCCCACCGTCTCAAGAGAGGTCCCAGGGAACAAGCCATTTCCCATTCTTACTTTTGCAGCTTGAGAGAACTTGTCTTGCTCAGGCCGGGAATGCAGTTCGTACGTCACGGTGTTTTCTGGGCCGGCTGTGAC